ATCTAATCCAGCTTCTCTGACGACTGGCTCAGCATACAGATGGAAAGAGAGGAGAAACCCTCGTCTGACAGTTTTGAACTGCTGATTTTGCAGTTAGCAGCCTGATGCACACACGACTCTCTCTGCCATCACTGGAATCAGATCGGATGGCAGGGAGCTTGGCTTTGGCCCTTACTGTACTGTGGTGTGTGTGGGGATGCAGGAAAGGAATGCCGCTCCCTCCTTCCCCAAAGACCCAAGAAAGACCTCTCCCTCCTTGCCCCAGGGCTTTCCCTTCCCTCAGCTGGAAGCGATGCCTCCGGGGAACTAGCTGGAAGCCTTGGGCCTCAGGGCTGGAAGACTAGCTGCCGAGTCTCTCCGGCAGAGTCTCGTTGGCTGGGTTTGTTGAGTGCCCTCCGGAACATTCCGGGTCCTGGCCTCACACTTGGAGAAGCACTGGGTAGGGTTAATCCCAAAGGCCCAGGACAAAGGGTGATATGGGACTCTCTGCCTCGGTTTCCCCTGTCTGTAGGACGGGCAGTCAGGATTCACCACTACCAGCAGCATGTCTGGACCCTGAGGTGAGGCTTTAGCACCGTGCCTGGCTGGGCATGAAGCACAACAAATGTCACTGTGATGCTCTCCCTTGGATCAAAATTGGGGTGCCCTCCTTTCTCTCTCTCTCTCTTTGTGTACACTCTGATAGGCCTTTTGACCACATGCCCACCCTTTCTCATACCCAGGCCCCGCCCCGCCCCCCAGGGACCCTCCCTGCCCTGCAGGAGTAGAAGGTCAGAGCCAATGAGACATTGCTGCAGCCACTGCAGTGTTCACCCAGCAAGAACAAGTCAGAGACGTCATCAGACTAAGAGAGTAGCCCCCCCGCCCCACCCCGCTGGAGGTGGCAATGACCATCACACCCATAGCCCCCACTCTACACTGGTCTTTACCCTTATTTGGGAGGAAAAAAAATTATTCAGCTCTCTACTGGAAGTTAAAAACATCTGTACTCTGGCCTAGAATCCAGCATAAAGTGTAGGTATCTGCTTTCGCAGCCCCTCTGGGTTGCCCCAGTGGCCCCCTAGACACTGGTCTAGGATTTCTGGGTATCCTGGCCCTAGAAACCATTCCGTTAGGGTGTTCCATCAAGACCCAGTGACCTCCTGATGCTTCCCAGTGTGGGTCCTGGGGTGAGTTCTTGGGGTTCTGTCCACACAGCACACCCACAGGCTTGCTGGGAGTAGACCTCCATCTCCTGAGCTTGGCTGGTGAGAGACTGACCAGAACAGGATGCTGAGGGGCCTGCTATGCACCATTCAGGCCTCTGGGAGCCCCCAGGTGCTGGGAGAGGCATTTGAGGCCCGAGACAAGTTGGTTACCCACAGCACCCATTTGCCCTGCTGGCTCCCTTGACTGTCAAGAGGAAAAGTTGCCCCTGACTCAGTTTCGAAGACCTCCGTTTCGGGCCACCTGGCTGCTCCTGGCTGATAGCATTTTTTTTTTTTTTTTAATCCAGAAACCCCTACACCAACTTTCCTGCCAAAGAGGAGGCTTGGAGATACCAAGGCATCAAATGAGTAGGTGGGATTGTACTATAACTTGAGCCTGGAGACAGCCCACCGGCAGTGGGCTTGGCAAACAGGGAGTGAGGGACATCTGGAGTAGGGACGTCTTCCTGGGTCAGGGCTTGGCCAGAGAGGCAGGCAGCCGTGTGTGAGCCCCTCAGGGCGGTGGATCCTTGTTCTAGATTGTATTGTGTCAC